TGCTCAAGTAAGGACTTGAGCAGACTTGAGTATGATTTCAAGCACTGAAAATACGACCCTAATGGCAAGGACTTGAGTATGATTTTCAGTGCTCACTGCAATACTCAAGTGTTCTGGAATACGACCCTACGACTCATTGCTCAAGTGTCTAATCAAGTAATTCATATTTGGGCGTTCGAAATTACTGTACGAACTATACTATAGGTAAGTTATATTCTAAAGCCAATTTCTAAAAAAAACTCTTCCAGCACTCCTTCCGCGTGGTCCTCAAATTATTCAACAAAAAACATGGTAACATATCGAGTTCTTAGGTTTTCGCCATTGTTACACATAGGAAATGAAACTATTTTTCTCGATTTAAATCTCGTATATTTGTTTTTCAAACAAAACTACGTTTCGGGCCATTTACAGGTCCTATAGTCACGGTTTGACATCGTAACACTTTAAAGTTCCGTTTTATTTCTTCGCCAGTTGTCAACCATTTCTTTAAATACCTCGAGTCCTTTTCCATTGGTCTCTTCGTATTTTAGCGCAGTGGCCTTCACCCGTGTGTACCACCTGAAAAATATATCGTTTAGAACATGGCTTCGTGTACAGGACCGGCTGGACCGAGCTAATATTTTGTTTTATTATACCAAGTGACGATGACGGGACGAACGAGAAGAGCGCCTGGTGTTAAGCTACAGGCCTGTCCAAAACAGTTGCAGTTGGTACTGCTCAGAACTTTAAATCGCAAAGATCTAAAGGCACTCCCACTGCGGCCGTCGTCGTGAGACATAAGTTGACAAGTCTCATGTGCCTGATATTTCACCAACGCGCATTTAAGCGCGTTCTCATTATGTCGTGACGACCGATAGTCGTGCAGTTTAAAGTGTCGTGACTTGTATAATTTAAATGAAGTTGTTCACACATAGTACAACAAGATTGACTGCCGTTCACGACTTTTTTGACGTTACGACAACAGACTTTCAAGACAATGGGAGAGTTAGAACGACAGTCGTCTGACGATAAATAAAAAGTGACGATAGACAATCACAACTACTATTATCGTCACGTTCCATTTATCGTTGTCACGATCCAGGGGGAATAGCTACTCACGACAGTCTTCAACGATAAACACGTCCACGACACAGTCACGACAAAAGCAATAGTCGTCTAACTATAAATAAAACGTTATGACAATATGATGGAATGCAGTAACGCTCATATTGCTGCTTGGGGGCAGAAATAGGTAGGCTCCTTTCACAAGGAGTTCTAATGCTACTAAATAATTTAAGATTATAGTTTTCAAGAAAAACTTTCATAGCTTTCCCAGACCGGCAAAATGATAGTGACGGAGTGAAGATATTTGTGTTTTCCATCCGTTACTCTCATCTCTGGACTGTATTCGCACTTTCCATCAGGCGCGGTGCAGTCATTTTGCCGAGTCACAATAAAAAAAAAGAAAAAAAAAAAGTTGGCGCTACGACAAAAAGGCGTTAAAAACTAAGAACAAATCTGCAATCAAGCACAGAAAAATTCGTAAGTCTGCTGGTTCGTTTAGTATCTTAGTTGAAATAGCTTTAGCCACGGTATATTGAAAGCGCTGGTTCGTGTCCAGGCGAATCGAAGGAATTTAAAACAAGAAAGGAAGGAAGGAGGGTTACATTCGGTTGTATGCATGTTTTCCGATTTCTCCGTCAATTGTGTACCGATTTTGAAAATTCTTGTTTTGTTTGAAAGGGTTATAATCTCGAGGTGGTCCCCTGATGCTATTCCGGGTTCGTTTCGGTTATCACAAATTACTGATTATTTTCCGCAAATAATATTCGACTTCACTTGACACAACATTATGTAATCAATAAGTCATCGTCACCATGACAGCCAGAAAAGAAAATACAAAATGTACAAAGGAGTTCGTAACAGTCCCATTGTCACCAAGAAGTCAGAATCTGATGAGGGGATCTTTTGAGAAAACTTTTGAGGTCAGTTTCTTTTTTAACCGACTTCGAAAAAAAGGAGGGGGTTCTCAATTCGACTGTATGTTCTTTTTTTGTATGTATGTTAAGCGATAACTCCGGTATTTGTGAACCGATTTTCATGATTCTTTTTTTGTTGGAAAAGGGATACTTCCCTAGTGGTCCCATTTCATTTTGAAGAAAATCATCCACCTCAAAGGGTGGCTGTTCACGCATGGAGATTCATTTTTATAAATAACGCCTAACTTTAATTTAGGAGCAATTGCTTTAATGGTTGATTTTGCTATTTCTCCTATTCAAGGCGTTTTTCTCTCAATATACTTTGAGTAGTGTCGTAGTGAGAACCTATTTATATTATCTCCAGTGTCAAGTCCTGTATAGTGGCGAACTAGGGGATACTTCAATAAAACTTAGCAAATAGCCGTAATTCCACGTACTTTTCAGGTCGGTTTTTTAAGTACTCTGTACTGATTAATGAAAAAAATACAATTATAATTATAATATGATTATAATTTAAAAAACCAATCTTATACACCCCGGAACTGTTTCTGGGGTGTATTGATACGATAAATAGGTTTTTTACATTTACATTTGGGACATGTTTATGGTCAATGGAAATTTTTTAATGACGAATGAGTTCACACATACAATTCACATGTAAGGTCACATTTATAATATTCATTTTAATATAGGATCACTACCATAGATATTTCTCATCTAATTACGCAGAAGCTGTACAAAGTTTTCATTTTACTATAGCTTTCATCTTACTTCATAGCCATTTTGAGTTACAAATAGTTTTACATTACACTTTTACGTATCATTTAAATTTTTTAAATTATATCTATCTCTTAACTCAGCGTGCCTATTGGCATAGGCCTCGTCGAGACCTTTCCAGTGTTCTATCAAGAGCTACTCTTCTTGAACATGGTCCTTCAGTTTGCTTGAGCTCGTCCTCCCATCTTTGATGTTGACACCCTCTATTACGTTTTCCATCACGTGGGTACCAAGTGGTGACTACTTTGCTCCATTTTTCCGGACCACGTAACAGCTATTTAATTTTAAATCTATATAGATGTTTCAACATTTGAACGATTTTTTACTCTTCTTATTTTCTGCTTCATTAAGCTTATTTTAACCTTCCAGCTTAGAATAATAACGCATAGAATGATAGTTTCATATCAAATGTACTGTCACAAGTGAGGCAAAAATCAAATTCATGTAGGCTAGTTTTAGTAGTAGGTTAATTTTCGGTTTTAGTTAATATTTATATAAAAATACAAGTTGAAACGCGTTACTTCCTTGTGGAATGTGATGTTAGTATCTATTTTATGTTTGTCTGACGTATTTTTACACTCATTTACCGCAAATGTCGCCATTTTTAGCTAAAATTCTGGAGCTGTTCACGGTGCAAGTTGACCTTGAGCACTGAAGGCCCGCCCGCTCGTGTAGGCCCTTTGGGAGCGCTTCAATTTGCCTCACTTAGCGTGTGCGGGCTAGGTTTCTATGCGTTATTATTCTAAGCCTTCCAGTGGTCGCAGTCGCGTGCGGTCTGCGAGACCGCAACTTTACGCGTTTAGTTTGAGAAGACAAATTAATATTTTCATGACATGTGTGGAACATGACAAAGAAAGTCTTCTAAGTATAAAATGAAAATAAAAAAACATTATTTATTTATTATGTCTTTTTAATTTGCAATTATTAGTCTATAAAAATTCAAAATTTTAGTCATATGACACAAACAATGTTAAAAATCAACAAAATAACAAAACAAGATGAAATTTTCTATCATAATAATTCATAAGCACACTATAATAGATTATTATCGCGATCAATCAATATTGTCATCAATTGTATAATATTGTAATACATTTATAGGTTAGAATTTCGTTTTTGAAATTTTGTTTGAGAGAAGTCAATTTACTTTTTTAAATATTCTCTGCCGCAAAGGTTAACATTTATAGAGCCTTTGATGACGTCACCAAATAAACTTACAAAATTTTCAAAAAATCATAACAGGCAAATAAGCTACGAAATGATAAAATATTCAAATTAATGTCTTAAAATAGTCTACATTTTCGAAAAAAAAATTGTATGTATATACATATAATTGTAAGTCAATGATGTATAGGTAAAAAATTGTGAACAATGCCCATTGACGACACCCGTCAATTGTTTCGAATTCCGCCTGGACAATCGGAGCGCAGTTGTGACAATAATGATTTGGCAGAATAGTTTTCAAACAAATTAAATGACATGTCGTCTCTATTTCTCGTTATATACTCGATGGTAATAAACAAAAAAGTCAAATTTTTTAGGGTCCACTGAAAATCAGCGTCACATCCTTTTCTTGTTGGTGCATTAGCTGCGTGGATCTTTTACATACGCGACAGTTTGTTTTAATTTAGCTTTATCTTTTTTTACTGTGTATTTTTGTGGCATTGTAATAAATGGTTTCTATTCTATTCAATAGACACGTAATTTAATGAGCCACATTATACAGAGGACAGGTTTTCGACGAGACCCTGTCACGCTGGACCACTGTCGATTGAGATGGTGATTATGGTCAAATTTGTTCATTAATTAATCAACAACATGTATTAATTATTAGCCGTCAGATATGTTCCATAGGTAAGATTACTTCCCCTCCCTACAAGTAATATTCCAAATCCCAAGAGGAAGAAGATATATTCTTGGCCTTGACACTTAGCTAATTATGCCAAACGGTCAACCATTTCATTACCACTCACATCTACATATATGGTATCCACTGAAAATTACTAGTTACTATATTGATACGTACTTACTCAAGAATATTTTCGAAAGGCGTCAAATCCATGCCCGAAGCCTCTATAGTAGATATTGTACTGACCAAACTGAGGTCAGCTAGGGTCAGCGTTGGGCCAGCGGCGTAAGTTTCACCCGCGAGGAAGGTGTTGAAGAAGAACATGGCCTCCAATAATTTTGCGAAATGCACCTTATCTGGACGTTCCCCAATGAACAATTGCGGGTACTGGAAATACATTCATTGGTAAAATAGGGCAGCCAACATTAAAGAGACATAATTCATAGGATAATATTATTTGATACTCAAAGAAATAATTGATCTATTGAAAATGTGCACTTCCGGTCGGATCGAAGGAATTTTTTCTGAGTATTCTTCGATTTTTGTATTAATAATTATAACAAACTAGTGGAGTAATTTCACAAAAAAATAATTGAATATCAATTGAATAGAAAATTTAAAAATACAGTGAATAGCGACATCTCTCGCCAGGACTGGTAGCTGTAAACTAGTAGGTAGCTGTACTAACTGGGTGATAAATCTTTCATAGATTTCTCATAGATGGCGCTACGACTAAAAAGTCGTTGATAAAACCAACTACAAAGACACGACGCATGTACATAGAAAAATTCGTGAGGTCCGCTGGTTCGTTCCGTGGCTTAATTGGTATAGCGTCTGGCACAGTAAGCTAGAAGACGTCGCCGCGTGCGTCGGTTCGAATTTGATCGGTCCGAATTTTTTCTGAGTGTTCGATTAATTATAACAAACTGGTGGAGTAATTTCACAAAAAAAAATGAATATCAATTCAATAAAAAATTTAAAAATGTGCATATTTTTAAATAAACGATATTTTTTATGCCTGATATAGCTGTATATTAGTTTTATCTACGAATAAATTATAAATGAACTGCGTTCAAGATAACTTTTACACTATTATCATCTTGAGCCGCTGGTGCCTCCACCTACAGCGGAGAGGCGGAACACTCCGGGGATTTAGTGCGGTCGGGCTGGTCCCCTTCAGGATTCAGCCCAGTCCCACATAACTGTGAGCAGGTTCCCCGGATTAACAAATTAAATCAAGATTTACTTAATTTTAAAAATAAGTACCTATTTAAATTTTATTTTGAATACTTAGTTCTTGTCATAGATTTAGTATATGGTTGTTGTAGTTTTGAGGCCTAACATAAAACTATCAATTTTAATGTATACAAATTAAAAGTTTCTTTCATAGCTTAGAACAGGTTAAAATATGTATCGATTTAATTTATTAAGACAGAGGCTTATCAATCATTAAAAAAGATGACTTTAGTATTTTTGCTTGTTGCTTTTGCGATTATTTAAATACGTGCCATTCATTTATACGTATTAAGTGAAAACACAGTTTGTAGAGAATATTACAAAAATGTAACAAAATGAGTAGGTACAGTTTCTTTGTAGACGACCTTCGCATGGGGATCATCTTGTACTGTATATATTGTTAACGGACTATATTTAATTTGTATGTTTTTCTGAGTACTGAAACCTCTTAATTAAATAGCTTGCAATACAAACAAAATAGTAGAAGACAGGATTTCGTTTACATGATCGATCTCGATTAATAACAAATATAAATGCTTTTTCTTGTTTTAGACCAAGCCGCGCAATTGTAAAAGAAAAACTATTCGTGGTGGGTGGTCGGAAGACTATGATCTAAAGAACTAGAGGCGTAAAAAGTAGGACGCCACATAGATCGGCAAGTAAATAGTTAGCAGTAGGTACGCGTTATGTCATTAAAAAGACGGGCTAAAGGTGAAAATAAAGGGTCTGTCAGTTCAATGAAATATTTAGGTGAAAAAAAAACTGTTTTCATCAGATGTGTTAAACAGGAAATCGAACTCGTAAAGTACATTAACGATATGGAGACGAGGATATGAATGATGAATATCAACTTGCCATAAGTGCTTAGGTACCTGTAAGATATAAATTAATTAGGATTATTTGCTCTCGAAGTTCCGTAACTGTTGTTTCATATACCTAGATTACATAAGGGAGGACTTTGTTAAGTCTAAAAAGTTGTTGTTTTCATTTGTTTCTACCAAAACCTAGAAATTTTCCTAAATAGAGGCAAGGTGATCCCCTGGATCATCTTGCCCATACCCTTAGGATCATCTTGGACGCCCCGGTGTCCAAGACGATCCTTTAGTAGGGTTTTAAAAATATTCAAATATAAAGTCAAAGATTATTTATTCCATAGGTAAAATAAATTTACATTTGAAAACGTCACATTTAAGCTACTGCTCGTTCACTACGCTGACCTCCCTGAGAAGAACGAGCAAGAAACTCTAGGGATTGCTCTTTTCAAATAAACTTAAGTGCTATGGAATACACTTTGAATCAAATTTGTATGGATTCTGGAGCCGTGTCGTCTTTCCATACATCTTTATCTAACATGTAGTCTTCAATTTTGTAATATGATTTTTCGATCAAAATTATTTTTAATGTAGTTTTTAAACTAAGGAAATGATAAACTTAATATATGCTCCGGAATCTTGTTGTAAAAACGTATACAGTTCCCCAAAAAAGAGTTGTTTACCTTGGTTAAACGAAATCGTGGTACCATGAATTTAGACTTAGCTCTAAGGTTAATATTATGGATATCTTCTTTCTTATTGAAATTATGTATATTTTTACGGGCATATAAAATATTTGAGTAAATGTACTGTGATGCCATGTAATGTAATGTGATGGTATCAGTAATGTGGTCATAGTTAATGTCATGTCTGTCTGTTTTAAAAATCAAGGATGTGTTGTCAGCAAACAATACTATTTCGCAATAGTCCTTAACAAAGAATGGCAGATCATTAATATAAATCAGAAATAAGAAAGGTCCAAGTATTGAGCCCTGCGGAACACCCACTTTTACCGGAGAACCCAAAGAAGTCACTCCATTTATGTCTACTTTCTGTATTCTACCGTTTAGATATGACGAGACAAGTTCCGACGCCTTGCCATTTACACAGTAATATTCCAGCTTCCTAATAAGAGTAATATGGTCAACGTAATCAAATGCCTTTGAGAGGTCACAGAAAACACCAATAACATTCTGGGACCTTTCTCAAGCACAGTTTCACATAAACACTATTTCATTCACGTAAACTTCAATTTGTTCACTACCGTGTGCACCATGTCAGGATACGGGAATAAGGCACATGAGGCAAACTCGAGCGGTGCGCTTAGACTGGTTTATTTCTCATTCGGTGTACCCACAATATACAGTATAAAATATATATCCATATACCAGACACATATGTGCTAAAGAGGACATGGTAACATAAACAAATATCCATAAAAAAAGGGAACTCACTGGTTATTACTTACAAAATAATATGCAAATCTTTCATATAGGACGCCTAAATCAAAGTCCAGGCGCATGTCCACCAACGTCCTCTCTTTCAATTCTGTAGGATATAGCGTACTGCCCATGCCGTACTTGTTGACGAGGTACCTGCCTATGGCGCGAGCCTCCCATACTGGAAATCCGTTGTCGACAATCGTGGGCACAGAGTGTTGGGGGTTTATCTATAAAAATAAGTAGCCATGATAAATTCAAAGGGGCAATCCGTTGCTAATGCCCCACACGTTTCATAGTTTTCACCTACGAGTATGTCATAAGGTGACGGGGGCAGTGCTCTTCAGGACCCCTATTCAGAACTCTTCGATATTTTAATTGAATCGTTCGATTGGATATAGTTCTCGAATCCAAGGGCGGTTTCCTGGGTGTTCAGTTAAACGTTCAATTCGGATTGGGATACGATATCGCTATCCAACGGCGTTTATGGAGTTAGTCGGTGAAATAGAATGTAAGAAAAATTAATGTTCTTTTAAATAAAATTGTAAGCCTTTAAAGGCCTAAAATATGGGAATGCATTAATCTTGCATTAAAATAAATTAATAAAATTGAACAAAATCCAGACTTTATTTAAAATAGTAAGAGATTTCCATATTACATTCTTGCTTTGTAAACAATAGGACGTTCGGTAACTTTCATTCGATAACTGTGTTCTGAATAATGTTTAAAGCCTTTGCCGGTCGAGAAGTTCGAGTTATCGTACGGGAGTGACGTCACTTCGGTTCGATTCGGGTGTTGTGAATAAAGATGAAAAGAAATCCTACGATATCAAATCGAATCAGTCGACGACTGAGTTTATCGTATGGTTCTGAATCGACCCCCAGATCTTTGTGATTTAAAGCTCTGAGTGACACTGCAACTGTTAGGCATCGTTTACCACCAGGCGCACGACTTGTACGTTCCGTCACTTGATATCATAAAAAAACGTACAAATAGAAAAAAACCGGTTTGAGAACTACGATGCCACAGACAGTCAAAGGCTTCAAAACTTATGAAGTTATAACTCCCCTTTTTTGCGTCGAGTGTTAAAATTAATGTACGTATTACCTTCAAATATTTAGGATCATATTGATCGCCATTCTGCAAGTTGATGTGATGATGCTCCATTTGGAGGTCTAGCGCGGCTGCCACCAGCAGCACCAACCGGCAGGCCGGCGAATCCGGAGTGTAGTACAGATCTATTGCCATTCTAGGTTTCGCCATGAGAGATAATGAAAAGGCGTTAATACGCTTCTATTGTTCTATTGATATTGAAATTTTACTATTTACGACGTTTTATTATCATTCTACAACTGACGACATATTTTTGAATATGCGTATTGGAAACTTCCGACACGTCGCGTCGTTTTCAACTACAAAAAGACGAAGGCGAAGGCGGTCTAACCGACCGACTAACGGTCCTAGTCGTAAAAAACTAGATTTAGTTGTTACGCCGTTTTGAAGTTATTAAGGTGTTTTCTGTCCACACTGAAATAAGCTTATTCCGGCGGCACCATTTTTGAATCTCGAGAACCGCAGGTCCTATTCTAGCTTAGATCTGATTGCACCCAGAAAGTCGTGAATTAATTGGTTCTAGTCGCGAAATTTTAGAATCCAGAATGGTTACCTATCAGTAGTCGGAAATGACATTTTCCAGAAATAACGTTGGTCGAAATTTCATAACCTCGAAAGTAATTTTGAGAGGAAAATGTTTTTTCTTTTAAACCTAACTTAACTTAACCGAGCATAATCGTGTCCTTGCGATAAACATTCAACATATCCTGAAAGAATAACTGTTTCGTTATAATTCGGTTTTCGGTGTAATTAAAATTCGAACAAACGTTATTTCGGACAAAAAAATTCGGACTTTGTGATAGGTTACCACCCAGAATGTGTCTTATACCGAACAAGGGCAATCAGCAAGTACCTTACGCTAATTGACAAATGCTTTCACCAGGACGGCAAGCGTTATAGTGTATGCCATCGATACGATAACAGAGTAAATTTAAACACTTAAACTGAAAATAATGTAGAAATACTTACGCCTGAAATGAATGACCAGAAAACAAAACGTTAACTCCTAATAACTACCATAAAAAAAGTGTACCTGATTAATAACTTTAAACGTTTCACTGGGTAATTACCGTGAAATTAAACATTAACCACTTAATCAACTACAAATGTTAACGCAAATAATAAAAACACCGAGAAATTTACATTATATTTTATTATCTTTGTCTTTAATAAAGTAATTACAGATAGGCACTAAAAAAATAACCATGCATATTTTGAAGACCATAATTCAATTATAATATTTCTTAGTTACATTGAACGCCGCGTGTTTGGAACGAAATTAGGACCCGAGTAGGCCTTAGTACCGGCGTAGACTCGGTACGTGTACAGGTTGCCTCGTGAATTAAAAGTGACGTCATGAAATCTTTACAAAATTGATATCGCTGCGACATAGCATGAAATCGTTTGCTTATTACCAAAACTTGGTAACCGAAAATTACGTCGCAGAATTTTCGAAAAATCTCCTCATTTTATGTTGCCGCAGAAATTTATGTTAGCTATGCTGTTTTATTTATATAACTATTTTGGTTTCTTTCCTATAATGTGGTGTTGCAAAAAATTGTTTCTATTACTATTTCAATAGTGTTACGTACAAACTAAACTCCATTTTTTTATCATTAGATAGAAGGGAAATTCGGGTCTTTTTATCAGGCGCCGTTTCATTCTATCATTAAAATTTACCTCTTTCAAAGGCTCGCACTATATAAGACTTAAAGAAGCAGAGGTTCCAAACATTAAACGAAAACTTGTTTTTTGTAAAATAATAACATTAACGTGTCATTTGTAAATGTCATTTGTCATCAAATCTCACTATTTTGTACATATGACTGACACTGGCGACGATAGCCATAATTTTTACATTAATCTTACAAAACTGACACTGGCCGAAGCCTGGTGGCCGCCATTAAGGAAATAATAATTTCTTGACGGGAGAAAAATGTTTACGATCAATGTTTTTCTAATTCTAAAAAAAAACTAAATATGTGCGAGCCAAACAACAGGTCGTGAATCTTCCGAAAAATTTCCGTAGCTACCGTCTCATAAAGTTTGTTGCGTAACACAATTGTGCACGAAACATTTCGCTCCCATTCCTTTCAGAGGCCATTTATATTAAACCGGTAACGGTGCATAAAAATACGACCAATAGATATGCATGCTATGTGAATGCCACATAATGCGATCTATCGTTTTTGAAAAAAGAACTTCCAGACACAAGGCACCCGAGTTTCAAGGGTATTTTTAATGGCACTAGCCCATAGGACACGTGAGTATTATGTTCCGATTCCCTTTACAACGGCACTAAACCTAAAATTATTATTTTTCACAATATTGTAACATTAGTTCACCGTAGTTTGAAGACTTGTGTTTATTTGATAAATGTAAGTCCGTTTAGGTCCTCGTACATGTATTTAATTTTTATTTGTAGAGACTGCTGCATCGAAACTGCAAGTTAATTGCAAAATTGTAATTTCCGTGCAGTTGGCATAACAGTTGGTAATCCGCTTACAACTGGCGTACAATCGTTAGAAGAAGCATGTAGGTCTCATATTAATTGTTAAGCGAACAGCACAGAAATTGCAATTTTTCAATTGACTGGCAGTTCAAATGTAGTAAAAACAATCGTCTTATATGGCTCTTATATCACTAATAAACACAAGTCTTCAGCCATCAAAGTTCAAAACCCATAAACTCGCAACATGAGGCAAAATTAAACAATAAAAGCTCTAATAAAAAATGTACATGTCTAACCATGTTCACAGAAGGCACATAATATCCGTAAAGAAAAGACTTTCTTTAAAAAAGCTATCTCGATACTTATTTAATACTAACAACTAGTGTATTAAAAATCAATTAACGTAGTTTTTTTTTATGAAGCTATGATTTGTGTGATATATATTTGTTTTTTTAATTACAAGGGGTCTCGCTTTCTTTTAAATCATAAGTTATTTCATTCATATAATCAACTTCATTGTAATTCAAAAAATTATTGTCACTTTCAGTTAACAAATAGAGTTAAAGAAGTTCCGTAGTTTACTAAATCAAGGTACCAACGGATATTTGTATAGGTCAAGCCAAATTAGATGTTACTGTCAGGTACAGTCAAGAGAATGTAAAGCTTGACGCAATCTTGACCTTACGTTACATCAAGCGGAAAAAACGTGACAGAAATTAAACGTGCTCAATGACAGTTTTTGTTTCGTGAACATTTTCTTTCGTAAAAACGCCAATTTTGCTCGAATGACTTTTGCGCATTCTCACTGAACAAAGGTCGCGCGTAATTCAGACGCGTTTTTTCGACTTGACTTATGACTTAATTGAACGCGACCGACCCAGTCCAATCTTGTTGCTCGTTAGAATAACTACTGTGTCAGAAGAAAACAAAAAAAATGTTAACTAGCTTTTTTAATTTACTAAATAAATAGATATAATAATAATATGAATTATTTGCTAAACTCGAAATAAACATGTATTTCCCCTATATAAAAAACAAAATTCAGGAATCATATACACCATTGTGTATTTTTGTATATTTTCAACTAGCGCCAAAATATTTCTTGGTGCGTTCTAAAACCGAAGCATGGATTTATCTTGTGTTGGTTTTACTTTTGTATAATGATTACAAACCTTAATTTGCTGTTCATAAACAGAATACGCAATATTAAGTAAGGTTGAGCCAGCTGGAAAACTAACTTTGCACAGCTAACTTAACTTTGCAGTCATGGCGTCGATAGTGCTTAACAAAAAGTATTGCTATATTTGTTTCCGAGCCGCAAGTAGTTTTGCAATCACTCTCGTACAACAACGCAGACGCATAGTCTCTTGTATCTTCAAGTTACATTTTATTATAGATTTTAACTTTATTCGTTTGGACACTAAATATCAATAATTACACAAAGCTATCTACATGAGCCACTCGTTATCTGCTTTTGAGTTTTGTGTTGCCAGTCGAAAATATCTCGAAGGACATTTTTATTGCACGAACGACTTGGTCTTGCCTGTTTTCAAATGTAAAATATTTTATTATAGAACAAAAAGGTATTGCAGATGTTTGAGATATTTCCGTGCTGGCAATCCTTTTTATTATGTTGCTGAGACCGCTGTCCGGGAATGATTCGTAATGATTGTGTTTTGTATGCCAGACGCTCGATGCTCTCTTCGGCTCCTTATATGGACTATCTGGAAATTAAAAAGCAATTCTGTTTACAATTTCTTTTTATATATAAAAAAAATATACATGAGACGAAGATCATCACTTTCCGTCAGGTGGAACGTGACGATGAGGTCGACGATATAGTACCTAATCACTATCGCCTTGAAAAAGCTCAAGTTAAAGAGTCAAGTGATGAGACCTGTTCGCCTGTCCATAACGGTTGCAGTGCCACTCAGAGCTTTAAAACAAAGGGCCACTGCCACTGCGCTCCCCACCGAACAAGTCCCATATGCCTGAAATTTCACCAGCACCCTAACCGTACAAAACCAAAACAGACTACCATACGTGGCGGCAGAAGTAGTTAACTTCTTATAAAGTAATAACATAATATTATAATGTAATATTTAAATAGCATTTACCATCAACTCTTTGTTTTAATTTACAGTATTTTTTTGTCTGAAGAAAAAGGTTCATGATCACTGCTTATTTGTTTACAATTTTTCTATTTAAAAAAAACTAACTATATGTGGTAAGTAAAAATTAACAATATTGGTTTTGGCATTATTATTATTATTACGAAAACCTAGACAAAATTATTTAGATCAGAGAAGGGAAAAAAATTTATGTCGTGTCGTATCAGGAATTTCAAGTTAAGGCGCTGAACAAAGATGGTTCGCGAATACTGCCCCGATAAGACCCCCCTAGCTTTCAAATAAGAATAGAGGCGTTATGGTGGCTCACCTCACTGGCAGCACTGCTTGCGTACGGAGTCGGCCTGGCTGGGTCGCACGTCGGCGGGCTCTGCGTCGGGTCGGATCACATCGCCTTCGGGCGGGTCGCGCATCTGCTTCTGCGACACGATCCTGTAGATTTCTGCAGCGAAAAACGTACTTGTGAGTTTAAACAAAAGAAAAATATAAATTTTCTACCTTTAACTCAATTTGTCATAATATACTAAAGGTGGATTTCAACAAAGTCGAATAATTCTTATTTTAGAATAAGACGTTAACTACTCGTCTTATTCATGGAATAACACTATTTTATTTTATTTTCTTAGGGGAGCTTACAGCTACTTTTACAACATGGACTTATGATATGATTAATCAGATGCCAATTATACGCTTCCACATATTAAAATTAGAAAATAACACTTCTATGAGAACACAACAATCGCTTTATCAGTCACTTGAAAATAAGTTATTAAATAGTTTTTATATTCTTAACGCTTAACTGCCTCCATGGCCGAACGGTTACCATGCCGGACTGCCACGCAGAGGTCCCAGGTTCGATTCCCGGGCCGAGAGAAATAGTTGTATGGCCTACAATTATTTCTCTCGTGAGTTTGGGTGTAATTTGTGGTTGTCTATATGTGTGTCCATGGCACCCGCGACACAGGGTTTCCCTAGTGCGGGGCTATGTTGAGTGTGCGCGTTATTTAAAAATAATAAAAAAAAAAAAAAAAAAAAACGCTGTTACTGACGACCTCAGTAGCCCAACTTTGACGACAAAATTTGTTACTAGCGATGTGGTATGTTAATGTTTTCTCATTGATATTGTAATATATTTTAATTTTAATGTGTGACTTGCAAATAATATTGTACACCTTAACTGGTACACTATACAGTACAAAACAAATGTAATATTTTAAGACCTTAGTAATTACCGGTAACTATAAATGTATTCTTATTACAACGGTTTGTTGTTCGGGCGCTGGACGAGGATGCCCGAGTTCGGTTTGAGAACTTAACTTTTGGAAAATGATCTTTTTTTTTCAGGTCTGTGTGTTCTGGGTAGGGACCCAGAGTGAGTTTCAGTATTTATTTATTAGCAAACATGTAAAATACGCAATATAATTTATAATACATTCACCGCGTTAGGGTCAAGCAAAAACTTAAAAATAAAAAACAAGCAACATAATAAATAAATATAAAAAATATAAATTAAAAAATTCCGTTTCTCTGGTACTCATATTACAGGGAACTTCCTAGCTTGACAGTTTACTCTCGATCTCTATGACAATGTCAAATATGAAGATACATTTCCATCATGCTTACTAACATATTGCATGTTTGCAGTTAATGCGTAAAGTCGTAATTAAGTTACTGCGTGAAGCCGAGACCTCGACTGCATGAAGTTGATAACGACTTTCACGCATTAACTGCTTGCAGTCGAAACTCAACTGCAGTTGAGTCTTCAATTTCAAGAGTCGATCCGACAATCTACTAATTAACAAAATAACTGCCTCTGTGACCGAACGGTTACCATGCCGGACTGCAACGCAGAGGTCCCGGTTTCCGTGCCGGGAGAAATGTGTGTATGGCCTACATTTATTTCTCTCGTGAGCTTGGGTGTAATTTGTGGTTGTCTATGTGTGAGTCCATGACACCCTGATACAGGGTTTCCCTAGTGCGGGCGGGGTTGTGAGTGTTTAAAAAAAATCAAAAGTATTAATCTTATATTTAATATATTATCCGGGTAGGTACAGTACATAAAAACATAAAAATCATCTTGTAAGTGGATAGTGGAGTGGCGGCGTAACAGTAGTGACAAGTAGCGTCTGTACTTTCATCTCGATGTCAACTACACAAACAAATACTGAGCTCAGTGGTCTTGAAAGTCAAAATGCGAAATCGGTAGGGTTGCCAAGTAAAATCGGTATTTTTGGACCAAAATCGGTGAATAATAAAGCAATAAATTGAACAAATCTCTATATTTTAAAATAGGAATGGTATTTTATTCACTATTGTATTAACAGTTAGGCGGGCTTACCTACCGTTTTGGTTAATAGGATGTCATTAAAATTCAGTTAAAATATACTTACTACAATTTAAATGTATGTACATATATTCGTAAATTAAAATTATACACACAATTTAAATGTATGTACATATATATATATATATATATGTACATACATTTAAATTGTGTGTATAATTTTCCGAAAACTCCGAAATGTGAAATGACAGAGTATGTACATATGTACATACTCTGTCATTTCACATTTCGGAGTAAAGTATCCACTTGAATGTCCTAAATTGACTTCCTCCTTGTATGACCTCCTCCTCCCCTGTGTTCCCCATCCTATTAACCTAAAATCCCTTCTTCTTTATGTGTTTCCTCCTTTATCAACATTTTGTATGATCTTATTCGCTCTAATAATAAGCTTTAGTTTGTTGTTTGTCTATGATTATTCTTTTTCATCTCGGGTATGACCTCCAAAAATAAATGCCTTGCTACTGCCATAACGTTGGCGTTTTTCATCAATATTAACGGGTTGCATTCTTCAAAAACTGATACTGGCCCAAGCCTAGTTGGCCGCCGTTACGGAAATAATAAAATACTTAAATCACGATCTTCGATCGTTGTTTCGTATTTCGTGGTAGACCTCCAGGTTACTCACTGTAGCGAGTGAAGACAGTTTCACGCATACACAATTACACACTAGAACTTCGTTACTGTATGTGTCACGTTACAGTTCGTTAATGAGTACTCGGCTTTTTTTACACTTTGCTAAATAAAAATACATTTACAGGATAATTGCAAATCACAAGACACGTGTAAAACACCTGCACCCATAAAAATGTGTCAAGACAGTGTACATTTTTTGTAAAAATCTTTATTACCCTATGGAAACACAATAGGTAAGCCATTCCAGCTGATAACATTCATCGGTTCTAATAATACTCCGCGAGTTGTATGACGTAACCTTTTATTGTTTATTTACGATAAAGAGGGGGGAAAAGGGACTTACCAGTCAGAATGTTCTGGAATGCGGGCTCTACATTGGTGGAATCGAGAGCCGACGTTTCAATAAAGCTTAGTCCATTTCTTTCCGCAAACGCCTTCGCCTCTTCCGTTGGGATCGATCTGGAATTGAAAACACAATTTATAAGTCACGAATACCTACTTTTTTTCTGTGTTATCATCTAGCTGTGGTAGTCTAGTGCACGCTTGTTTATTATCTACTACACAACAAGGGGAAAAACATACAAAAAAATTTTAATTTTTTTTTTATAATATCAAGTGACGGTACGAACAAATCGTGTGTGTCGGATGGTAAGCTACACGCCTGCCCTTAAAGCACGCTTGTTTATTGAATGCAAGGTGGCCAGTTGGTATATAGCAGAGCCATCCCATAAGTGGCAGCAGTACTCCATACACGACCGGACTTGTGCTTGGTACAGCTGAAACAACTGTCCCGGTGTGAATCCCCTATCTACTGACCCGAGAGATAGGGTTTTCCGGAGAGTACAGCCCGGGCCAAGCCCTCCGCCAGTGGCGGACCCGGACTTGGGTATGGACTCGCTGGGGTTTGTGGTTAGCTGCAGAGACGGACATGTTTGTCTGCCTCGGTTTTATATGTTTCCGGGGCGTCGCGTCTGTCTCGTGAGCAGCTAGCGCGTCTGAGTAGCGGTCTAGTTGAAGGCCTGAAGCGAGGAGACGTGCGGGGCACGTGAGTTGCCCTTTAAGTTGGAAGCTATGTCCGGACATTGACGCAGGACACTGCAACTGTCATCTCCGGCACTAGCCCGGGGAGCTAGTAGAGGATAAGCTAGATATCCTCCGGTCCCTCCAGCCGCTTAGGTTATTGGGAACTGGAGAGACGTCGTTTTTTGGCGTCGGGAAGTGAGCCTGCCTTACAGCTCCGCCACCAATGAGGATATTTGGTAGTGGACTCAGAATCGACGGCTTAGCGGTGGCAACCGCTAGTTGTGCAATGCGCAACGGGAAGTGAGCGTGCCTACAGCTCCGGTACCTATCTGGAAAATAGGGAGGGTACTGTACGTGCACCCGGGGCGGCTCACCCGAGGCACTAGCCTCTCGAAGAACTGGATGAAGTCAAGTGACAGAGGTCTGTGACAACCCTGGACACTGGCTGATCTGGGGTCAGAACCTGAATTTGTAAGGTTCCTGTGCGCGCACAGGTTATAGTACCCTTCTCGTATGCACTAAGGGTAGGTAGGGAGGTTTACTGTAATGAAAACTAACGTAGAAAGATATGGAGCCTGTCCCGGTGTGAAGTAACACCTCAACTTGGAAAGGATGCCAAGCTTCCTGGCTGCATTTTTGGTCATGGATTCAATGTATATGCCGTACAGATTGGACGACAGGACATTGTGAGGTCCAAATAGGTGAAAAAGGTCGGCTATCGGTATGGATATATCACGAAAAGTCGGAGCCAGGTGAAAGCGACTCCGTTATGCGGAGAATTGACACGCCTGCGTTTTGGTACCTTTAAATTTGACAACATTGGCATCGCCCCAATCGGAGACTGCCTTAAGTGTCAAATTCAAACGACTAACCATGGACTCTCGACAAGACTGGATTTCTTCTCCACTGATCCTTGCATTGGTAAGTAAACGTAAGTTTAAAAAACTTTTTTATACAGTTTCCTCGCAAATGGTTAATTTTAGACAACAACAGAAATCATATTATTAGTCAAATGGACTTCATCAACAAGGCCACAAATCGCGCACACTTTGTTGTGTTTTTATATTTATTGTATATTTTTGGCATTGGTTAAAAATAACTGAACACATTGGCAGCTGAAACACATTAGGGTGTCACCACATTCATCGACGTGGGCTTGAGCCGGTCAGAAAAAACTTCGTCTTGCAATAAGAGCGACAAATACGTGGGTTTGTGCATTGACTTACAATTATATGGACGTCGGTTCCGCGCTAAAAAGTGTCCGAACTTATAGGGCGTTAAAATCGTATACAGAGCGTCATTCACGCTTTAGTCTTCGTTTGTTCGACTGACAGCGAAGCAAGCAAAATTAGACAGTACTGCGATGACATTACAATTTAAATTCAACGTTTTAGCTTTTTCATATTCCTTTACATGTCACTACGTTTAAATAGGTTGACTTGGGACATTTTTTTCGTGGTTTTTGTATTAGACCCGTCGTCCATTTATTTGTATGTCAATGGGTTTGTGGGTCACAACGATTAGATTTTTGTGAAGAGCGATTCAAGTGTGTACGATCTAGCTATTTTTTGTATCGATTCATTTCAACAGCGTTTATGGAACTAGTCGGTGAAATAGATTATAAGAAAAATTAAAATCCTTTTATATACATTTTTAGACTTTAAAGGCCTAAATTATATAGGAATGCATTAGTCTTGCATTTAAATAAATTAATAAAATTGAACAAAGTCCAGACTTTATTTAAAATAATAATAATAATTATAAATTTTTATTTTGTGGTGCACGTAAACCCGTCATTGTAATTATCGTCTCCTGTATTTAGGCCTGCAGGAAGAAATTTCTGTTAGAAATAAGCAGTACCTTTTGTTTGTTTTCCCTGTTACTAAATACGTTTTTGTTTTGACTGTACAATAAATAATTAATTAAATAAATAAAGGAGATTTCCATATTACATTCTTGCTTTTTACTGACGTTCGGTAACTTTGATTCGATAACCGTTTTCTGAATAGCGTTTGTAGCCTTTTGTAGAAGTTCGAAGTAATCGTATGGGTGTGACGTCATTTCGGTTCGGTTTCGAATACGATACGAGGTTAACGTTCGATTCGGGTGCTGTGAATAACAATGAAAAGAAAACGGTCGACAAATGAGTTATCGTAAGGTTCTGAATTGACCCCCTGAACCCCTACGGATTCGTAATGGTAATCCTATTTTATATTGGTCTGCAAGCAAAGTAGTTTGCCAATATGTAAGTACAATAAGTGTAACTCGAACGATCGATACGATCTGAACGACTTTTCTCACTGGTTAATATCACTCTAATTGAAAGTCGTAACCGACAGAGGCCGAAATGGCTGTCAATTTTTTTTTTGTCAAAATTCATTTTGAAACCATTGACTTACAATTATATGGACGTCGGGTCCGCGCTAAAAAGTGTCCGAATTTGCAGGGCGTTAAAATCGTATACAGAGCGTCATTCACGCTTTAGTATTCGTTTGTTCGACTGACAGCGAAGCAAGCAAAATTAGACAGTACTGCGATGACATTACAATTTAAATTCAACGTTTTAGCTTTTTCATATTCCTTTACATGTCACTACGTTTAAATAGGTTGACTTGGGACATTTTTTTCGTGGTTTTTGTATTAGACCCGTCGTCCATTTATTTGTAAGTCAATGTTTGAAACGATTTTTATGAAATATTCAGAGGCATATGTTCCATTACGATTCAAATAATCGGTTCAAAGCAAAAAATCGTGCATACAGGTGGGTTTCTCGTCAACAGCGGTTTCTTCCTCTTACGCTTACTATTTTTTTTTATTATGTTACCAGGTGACGGGACGAACAAGTATTGGGCCTGGACCACCAGGCACACGACTTACCAAAGCAACACCACCAGACACACGACTTATTTGTCCCTGCACTTGGTACAAATAAAAAAAAAAAAAAATTTGCTAAACTTTCTTTCTTTTATATTTTGTCGAGTGATGTTTAGGCTATCGTGTTTCGGGCCCCATAGTTAACTACCACACCGGTATCTTCTATGTTCATCGCTAATTAAAAAAAAGCTGAACTCGTATTTTTTAATGTCAAAAAACAGATTTTCCGTGTTGTCGAAATAAGTCAAAATTTCACCTTTCTGATAATGCGATTCCGTGTCGAAGTGTGGTGATTCCTTAATGGGCTTACGAGGTATTATTGTAATAACATCTATTCTTCAGTCGACCTTGACTTATAATGTAAATGGCTATGTAGTACGAATGAAATTAAATTTTGCACTAGGCCAATACGCGCCTCTGACGCACGGCTACCTGTGGAATACGAGAATAGCTCGGTCTATCGGAAAACAACGAATTCTCGATTACACTGTTTAATACACCGTGTCTCTATTGACTAACTGTCCCAAAGAATATTAGGCATATTTGTTAGATCAATTGTACGCTACCGGACACAAATTCGAGTCACCTGGAAAACAACATATCGCTGCCATCGAAGAAAAAGTTTTCCTCAGCTTTACAAATTCAAATTTTCAATAAGGACTTATGGAAATTAAGTTTAGTACACCAGCTTCAAAATTGCATAATAGTTTTTGATCAATGAAACATTGTTTAAGCTTAGGGTATTTAATACCGAAATTTTACGATGGCTCAGAACGTTACGATACGACGTTGACGACCGATTTCTTTTCATTGTTATTCACAACACCTAAATCGAACGTTAAACTGTCGTATTCGAAATCGAACCGAAATGACGTCACACCCGTACGATTACTCGAACTTCTCGACCGGCAAAACCCACAAACGTTATTCAGTACACAATTATCGAATTAAAGTTACCGAACGTCCAAATGTGTACAAAGCAAAAAAGTAATATGGAAATCTCTTATTCAATTTGTTTTGTTTAGTTCAATTTCTAACCGACTTCAAAAAAAGGAGGAGTTTCTTAATTCGACTGTATGTTTTTTTTCATGATTCTTTTTTTGTTGGAAAGAGGGTACCTCCATAGTGGTCTCATTTAATTTTGAAGAAAATTATCCACCTCTAAGGGCGGCTATTCACGCATGAAGATTAATTTTTATAAATAGCGCCCAAATTTTATTGTAAGGAGCATTAATAAAATAATTGTATTTTAATGGTTGATTTTGCTGTTCTCCAATTCAACGCGTTTTTCTCTTTCAATATACTTTGAGTAGTGAGAACCGATTTTTATCAATTTATTTTAATGCAAGACTAATGCATTCCTATTTTTTAGGCCTTTAAAGTAAAAAAATATATATAAAAACGGATTTTCATTTTTCTTATAATCTATTTCACCGACTAACTCCGTAAATGCCGTTGGATAACGATATCGTATCCGAATCGAACGTTAAACTCTGAATGTTCTGAATAGCCCTTCGATTCGAGAACGATATCCAATTAAACTATTCGTCGTTAAACGTCGTTACGACGCTAGTGCGGGAGAGAGGGGGGGGTGTCTCTCTTACCATCAGGAGCACGACTTGTTCGTCCCGTCACTTGATATTAAAAAAAAACTAAATTGAAGTCGATTGGGCAAATAGGGAAGGGAAATAAATATGATGATGCCATATCGTAGAAAGTTCAATATCATCAATACCTATTATTACAAGTTACGACGTTTTGATATTATGTTAAAATTTCAATCAATGTGCTTCCATCTAGCGGTTCATTGCTGAACGACGACGAATTGGAGTTATTAATTTCGTTCTTCAAACAAGAAGCGACCTTATTGCTGGGGTATACGTTTTACTTTCGTTTCTTGTAACAAAAAAGTTATTTCGATAAACAAAAAATTAAAAATTTATAAAAATAAGACTAAGATGATATGAAATCATTTTTGCACTCCAAAATAGCACAATAAGCATTTTTTTGGAATTTTAGAGAATTTGCACGAATGTATGACAACCATACCATACAAAGCGAAAATGGCGAACTGAGCTCAGATATCCACTACGTAAGGGTGGAACCCAAGCCTACGTCTAGTCCTCCGACGATAGAAAGGGGATATATCCTGATACTGATAAGCAGGCAACT